CAGCCTGGCAAGGAGGCACCCAGGTCCTGGAAGGCAGGGGCTCCAGAGCCAGCTTCCAGAAATGGGGCTGTCTCCCCATCTTGACTGTCCTCTACAACCCATCTGGCATCTGTCACTGTACACCAGCCAAAGCTCTTTCTGCCATCTCCTGTGTGGCCACACAGGATAACAAGTGCCCTGTACAGAAGGGTGGCCTTTTACTCATTCTGGAAATGGTCACTGAGCACCCACTCTGTGCCAGGCACCGAGGGGACAAAACCACCACACACTTCCTGTGCTCACAGAACTTGGCAGGGGAGGCAGGCACAAATAAACAACCAACAACAAATAATTACAAATTGGGTTAAGTGCTGTGAAGACAGGAAAGTGTAATTAGCCTATGCTCACCTCTCCCTGGCCCCCGAGGCCTGCCCTCATTATAGGATACCCACAGCTCTGCCTGCCCTCCCCAACATACTGCCAGGCCAAGAACCTCAATTCACTGGGCATAGCAAAGGAGTCCACAACAGTCTGAGGAACATGTTGAACCAAATGGGAGGGGAAAAAAACTTTTAATTAAAAAAAAACAGCAATCATTCCCATAGCTTATACAACCGAATTTGAGAGCCATAGAGGCCCAGAGAGGCCAAACATGTGGCTCCAAACCACACAGACGGTGAGTGGCAGAGCCCAGACCAGAAACCAGGTTTCCCATGCCCAGGTCCAGGGCTCTGCCACCACCATGCAGCCCTGCCAGCGTCCCTTGAGCCCCTTCACAGCCTGAAGGCATTCCTGGCCCGTTCGGGTGCCTGCTCCGCAGGGCAGCGCCGTCCAGTGGAGTCCTGTGTAAGAATGCAAACATTCCACACCTGCGCTCTCCAGCACAGACTCATGACATCACTCCAGAGGTTTCGGGGATATGGGGCCAGTGCGTTGGGGGTGGAGCTTGGCAGGGGCCGTGGGGAGAAGGAGGGTAGCGAGATGAGACACAAAGAAGGGCAGTAGGGGTAAAGGATCCTGTCTGACGTCCCAAAGAATCCTCTAGACTTTAATCCCATCATCCACTGATAGACTTCATCCAAAGTAACAAAATGCCTTAAAGGCAGCCTCCCTGGGCCCCCAAGGGGAACACTGCTCCTCTGAGCTTCGTGGCACCTCCGGAATTCCGAATAGTGGCTATTTGTCATGACCGCCACCCCTCACCCCCACAGCCCTTGCTGCTGTCTCAACCTGAAACAGCCTTCCCTCCCCTCCTGGACAGCTCTTCCCCCTCCCTTCAAGCTTTCACTGCCCCCACCCCCAACCAAGGTATCCCAGATACCCTCACGCAGGTCAGGACCTCTCCCAGGTCTCCACATGGACTGCCTGGCATGTGGAGGAGGCATAACAGGCATTGTTTTAATCTCCCCATCTTTGCTGTTATTTCCCCTTTCTTGGCCCTTGTCCCTCCCAAATCTACCGCAGCTCCCCATCCCCCAGCTCGGGAGCCCTCAGAAATTCTTTGTGCGTAGACAAGGTCATCCCATTCCCAAAACTTGGCCCCTGGGCCGGGCCTCCCTCCAGCAGCCTCAGGACAGACCTGCTCAAAAGGATAGTCCAGAGAAAGGAGGTCGGAGTTTTTAGCCTGGCCAGGCAAGAGGGCCCTGACTCAGTGAGTCCAAATGTGGATATGCCTTTGGGAGAGAAGAAGAAACGCCTACAGGAAACTGAGCAGGCTCATCTGGGAAGTCTTCCTGGAGGAGTAGCCTCACCTTTCCATCAGGCCCGGGAATGAAAGGAAGAGTCTTCCCTGCACAGAGTCCCTGTCTCCCCAAGAGCCACGTCCCGCCCCAGAGCCCCAGCTGAGCTGAGATGTGTTCACTGGAACATTCATCCAGCAACCATGTGTTGCTGCTCTGAGTTATCCAAGGCCTGCTGGCTCCAAGGGCCAGGCCTCGGGCCAAATAGGGAGCAGAGCACAGAGCAGAAACTGAAACTGTGACACAAGGATGCCATTCCCATAAGGCTGCCTAGCCAGACTGTGTGGGCCAAGTCGGACACCTCTCCTCCCCAGGGCTGAGAGGAGGAGAATCCCTGACCCTGGACTCTAAGTGGGCAGGGAGGCAAGAGAGAAGAGGCGGATGACAAAGACAGGGACAGCTCCAAAGTTGGGAGGAAGTGCCATGGAGAAATGGAAGAAAGGAAGAAGCAGAGAACATGAGGGAAAAAAAAAAAAAAAAAAAAAAACCTTTGCTTCTTTGAGGACCCATTTCAGGGGCCTGTGGGACAGCCTGGCCCTAGTCACCCCCACGCCCGCCTGTGCCTTAACTCCTGCCAGCCCTTTGCCTCATGGAGGATCAGAATTATATCCTGTCCCCAGTTCCGGGAGACCAGGAGCACAGGAGGGAGGCTCAAGGCGGAGGAAGGGGGACTGACATTTCTGTCCCTGGACCAGAGGGGCCCAGGACGTCCAGATGCCATCTCCAGCTGGGGTCACCCAAGCTTGCGCCACCTGAAACCCAAAGCAGGTTTGTTTGTGAGTATATCTAGGAGGGGGGTGGAGACTGCCCAGGTACTTAAACATCCCCACAGAGACTGAAAATGCCACCCACCTTCCATTTCCTCTCTCCCCATCCCTCCCTGCAGGGCTTCCTGATCCCCTGGAGGCCAGAAACCCTAGGTGGTTCAGCTCTGAACCAAGGCCAGGAGAGGGTCATGTCCGGTCCTCAGTGAGGCTGGAGAGGCGGGGGCCTGTACACTTGACCCTCTGCTGCCCCTCACAGCCATGTGGGGCTAGAGGCTGGTGTGGGTGGAGCTTAGTGAGGAAAGGGGGAGGGGCAGGGAAGGAGAAGGGACTGGGTGCATCAAGCAGTTTTGTTTGTTTGCAGCTTTGTCTCTGCCCTTCCTGTTTGGCAGCCAGAGCTGTGACAGCTAAAGGCACCTCTAGGACTGCACCCAAGAGACACTGCAGGGCCAGAGGGAAGACAGCAGGACCCATGCCCCACCCCAGCCAGAGCCCCAGGCCAGCATGCCCTCCATGCCTCCAAGAGGCCCAGCCACCCCAAAGGAAAGCCAGTCCTGCCATGCCAGCCGCCAAGCCGGGGACTTGGCCATTAACTGTGACTTGTTACAACTCAGAGACTGACAGACGTCAGCACAAGTCAGCAAGAAGTGGCAGGCTTCAGAGACGCGGAGGCACATTCAAGAATTGGGGCATCCCGCTCACAGAAAATAAGGTGGTGGAACCGAGCCCCAGACAGTGAGAAGACAGTTCTTCTTGTGTTCCCCCCTGCCCTTTCCAGGGGTCCCCAGGCTTAAAGGCTAAGATAAGGGGGGGCTCATAATCCAACAGTGTGCCTTCAGATCTCTGTGACCTGAGGCAGGCACTTAACCCCCTCTGAGCCTCAGTTTCCTCCTCTGTAAACTGGGGCTAATGAGAACAAACTTGTCTACCTCAAGTGCCATGAGGACTAAAGGAACTAATGCAGGTAAAGCATCTGGGACATACCGGACATGTTAGCTGTTGTTTTGGCCCCAGCAGAGCCCGGAGGCCATTGCCTGCCTCCCCTGTCCCCACAGAGCACTCAGGGGCGACCATGGTGGGGGAGGTAAAGCCGCTGAGGTAAACCACATGCCATGCAGATACCAGGTCAGGGAGGCTGGGGTAGGCCAGGCAATGGGCGCTGAGTGGGGAATGGGGCACTATGTGTGAGAAGTGGGGATGCAGACATCATCACAGTGACCAGGTCACAAATCAAAAGTACCTGATCCCGGGTACTCAGCCTCAGGACACAGTGGTGGCCTTGGGACAGCTTGCTATACCCTAGGGAGCCAGAAGGGCCCACTATGTGGGAAAGAAGGCCAGCCTGGGAGGCGGGAGCCCTGGAATGGGCCATGTGATCAGGACAGTGGCTCCCGTCTCCAGCCTGTCCCTGCCATCCCTAACCACCTGAGTCTCTCCCAGACAAGCCCTCTCCCCGCTGTGGCCCCACCACTCCAGAGTGGCACAGCAGACCCAGGGAGGGCACAGGGCCATCCGGCCAGGGCAAGAGTATCCAGGGACAACAGGCCAGGGAGGAAGGAAGAGCAGGCCCCAGAGAGTCAGCGACTGCAGAAGTGAGAGAAGGGGGCGGGAAGCAGTGATGGAGGGGGCCTATGGGCTCATAGAACCTTCTGCCGCCCCACCTGAGGCTCTGTGGGAACCACGTGGCATCTTTTCTGTGATACCTCATTCTTAAGATGAAACAGAGGACAGAGAAAAGGCAAGGAGGAGAAGGGTGGGAGCCAGGGACACATTCCCATAGCCCTCGAGGAAGAGCTGCCCGCGAGCCCACCATCTCCCCACAGGCGGGCCCCAGGTCTTAGCCACCATTTACTGAGGGCTTTGTGCCCTGCCCTCCACTAAGTTCTGTGCTACACTGGCTCCCCTGGCAGGGGCGGTGGGCATTTCCGTCCTTGACACAGAAATCAGCTAACCTTCCTAAGGTCACACCGGCAGCAAACAGCCAGGCTGAGTCTGGAGCTCAAGTCTCACCTGTCCAAAGCCAAGGGCTCTTGGTCTCAGCCATCATTTTCCTCTCCAGCTTCTAAGACAGTGGGATGTGCTAGTATGTGCTCAATAAACCCTAGGTCAAAGGAAGGAAGGAGGGAGAGAGGGAGGAAGACAGGAAGAGAAGATAAGCCCGGGAGACTCTCGGGCAGCTAGAAGATAAATAAAAAGGTGTTGTTTCCTAGTGCCAGGATGGCATGCTGCCCGGGATGGCTACCCTGCACTCCGGGAGCGCACGGCCCGCGCTTGCCTCATCTTTTCCAGAAGTATGTAAGCCCAGCTACGTCAGCCCTCAGGTATGCAGTGAGGTCTGTGGTGAGAGGTGCTCTCCGCGCCTCTCTCTCCTTCCTCCTCCGGTCTGCCCTTCCTCTGCCACCACCGCACTCCCACCCAGCCTGCCCGCCAGCCCAGCCTCACCCCACCTCCCCTGGAGCCAGACCCAGCTCCATGGGTGGGGGGGGTGCTGTGAAGAGCCCCCTCAAGCAGGCAGGTCTCAGGCCCCGGGGAGGAGATGTGTGCGTGGTGCGGGGGGAGGGGCAGGAACATCGCATCATCTAACAGGTTGGTCGGGCTGGGAGGCGTCCCGCCCTCCTGGAGCTAATGAGCACTGTAGGACAGGTGTTTGCTCCTCAGTCCCCAGCCTGCCCTGCCTGAGACCAGAGCCAGCTGCCTGCCACCCCTCAAAGGCTCATTCACACACACACACCCGTGCCCTCCCGCGTCCCGGGCCCGGGGGCCGCGATGGCCTGCCGCTCCTGCGTCGTTGGCTTCAGCAGCCTTAGCAGCTGTGAGGTGACCCCTGCGGGCGGCCCCCGGCCTGGGACCTCGGGATGGGGCATCTGCGGGACCCCGGGGCCAGGCTTCAGCTCCCGCAGCCTCACAGGCTGTGAGGCGGCTGGCACCATTGCCAAGGTAACCGTGAACCCCAGCCTACTAGTGCCCCTGGATCTCAAAGTGGACCCAGCCATCCAGCAGCAGAAGAACCAAGAGAAGGAGGAGATGAAGGTCCTCAATGATAAGTTTGCCTCCCTGATTGGCAAGGTGAGCAGAAGTAGGGGGGTGGGTCCTGAAACCTAAGGACCTTCAGACCTGGGCAGGTGGCTGAGCTCTGTGTTTCGGGAGGATTGCCCCACCCCTGATCCCAGCCAATGAGGAGCCGGCAGGCTGGCTCTGAACAGAGAGATGGCAAGGGCAGTCCCTGAGCCATCCGGGCAGGCGCTAGGGGAGAAAGATGCCCCGGGATGGCCCTGAGGGATGTCTGGGTAATAACATGCTTCATGGCTTGGGGTCATTGTCCCCCTCGGCGGACACTAGGGAGGAACCCCAAATGTGGCCAGGAGGATACCCTCTCATGGGAATGGCTGATGGAGACATGGTTTGCCATATGACTCCAAGGCAGGTGGACAAAGGAGGTGAGCTCCCAAGAGTCCATCCTTCTTTCCAGGCCTTGACCCTGCTAAGCTTCTGGAGGTCAGAAGGATCAGCTGAGCCAAAGGGATACCCGGGCCTCCAGAAGGAGGTAGCCTGTCAGGAGATAGGAATGCGGAGAATTGATGTTTCGAGTCAGAAGCAGACAGGCAGCCAGGCCTCCCTGGTACCCACATGAGAGAGGGAGTGAGTCCCCAGCACCCAGACTCCTAGACCCCACTGTCCTGGCTGGCATGCTGGTGTGAGGCACTCCTGTCCATCTGCACCCCAGGGCATGGTCTTCAAGAGCTCTGAGAAAGTCCTATTCACCTCTAGAACCCCTTCCTCATTCTCCTCCTCCAGGAGACCTCTCCAGATTGACCCTCCCAGCTCTGCACCCCCTGCCCTGCCCAGAAACAAGGATCATAATAGTAACAGCTGCATCAGCTGCTAACTACATGTCAGATACCATGCTGGAAGCTTTACATGTTTCCCTCAGTTTCCCTCAACAACCTTATGAAAGAAGTCCTTTTGTGCCCATTTTACAGATGAGGAAAACTCAACTTCCCCCTCCTACTCAGTACGCCAGAGCCCCATCCTTCTGCCCTCGCTTCAGTCCTCTCCTGTGCATGTCTCCCTGTCTTGGTGTTCCTCTGCATGTTGCTAGGGTCCCCCATTAGGCAGGCATCTGTGGAGAAGGGCAGAGGGAGAAAGGTTAACATGTATGGAGCATCTGTTTGCACCCAGCTCTCTGCAGGAACTGTGCAAACATGTGTCATTATCCCCCTCGGCCACACTCCACAGTGGCCATTTCCCCTACTATAGAGATGAGGAAACAGCATCCCAGAGGTTAAGTGCCTTGCCCAAGGTCACACTACCACCAGGAGTACAATCGGGACTTGAACTCAGGTCTGCAGGTTTGTTTTCCTCTCCCCCGACCCACACCCAGGCAACCAGGGTGGGGGGATGAGGAGGGAAAGTGACAGCTGGAGAAGGACAACCGTCCACTGAGGTGGAGCGTTCCCTCCCCCGGCCCTAGCCGGCTGTGCAGAGCCCAGCACTGCTGGGCTGTGTGCCCTAGGAAAACAGCCCGCTGCCCTGGGAGGCAGGTCCCTGCAAAGCCACCTCCTCTCAAAACCGCTTTAATCCCTTAAAAGGAATGCTTCATGAGCTATGTAATTTGGCTCGGATGGGTGGCTTTTCTCTCTGAATGCCAACGCTGATATCACCCTATGCCTGGGCCATGGGGATGAGACACGTATATAGGCACAGGGAGGGGGCTTAAGGGGCTGGGGTCCAGTGCTCAGGGGCCAAGCCGACGCCCTCTGAGGTCTTTAGCAGAACTAGAGCCTCCCAACCCTAGAGCCTTGGCCTTGAGACAGGTGCTCTTCAAGGTAGGACACCAGGAGCCATGGATGCCAGCCTCTTGGGGACCCTGATCGCTGGGGCCAAAGAGCCCCAGCTGGTCCACCAGCTCTACAGAGGGGGCTGTTAGCTCAGACTGTTAACTCATGTCCCTCCCTGTCTCCCTATAAAGGCCTCAAGGGACTGAGGAGAAACCCCATTCCTGGATGTGAATCCTGGTTCCGCCTCTGGCCAGCTGTTTAACCTCAGGCAGATTATCTAACCTCTCTGTTTCTCAGTACGCATCCATGTCATGGGCTGGTCAGGGTCAAATGGGATAATTTTTGAAAAGCATTTATGAAGCACTTACCATGTACCAAGTGGGTTCTGTTTGCTAAACAAAAAATATCATCAATGGGCCCAGCACGGGGAGCTCTTGAACCTTGTTGGCCCCTTCCAGGCAGGAGCCTGAGAAGAGGGAGGGAGGGTGGGAGAGCTTCGTGGGTAGGAGCGGCTCATGGGGCAAGATGCCACAACCACGCAGGCCTGGGGGCTCTAGGCAAAGAAGAAACAGACAGGGGCCCTTCAACTCCTCATCCCCTCTGGGCCCTCTGAGGCACCAAGAGAAATCAAAGAGCACCAAGCAGGATAAGGAGGAAGAGAAGGCAGAGAAAGAGGATTGGGGGGTTGATCCCTAGGAGTTGGCCGAGGGTCCCTGGAGCGGGACTGGTTCTTTCCTTTGCAGGCTGTGTTTCCTTAAGCAAGCCACTTACCCTCTCTGAGCTTCACATTCCACCTTCCTGCTCTGCTCCTGCTCTGTACATGGCCCCAAGCTCATGCCAGGACAGGGAGGGATACAGTCCTGAGAGGAGGAAGATCGAGCAGCAGCAGTAGGAAGGGAGGCTGAGGCAGGCAGGGACATCTGCATGTCCAGACCGCAGATGGGATGGAGATGGGACAAGAGAAAGGACCACCAGCAGCCCACCTGAGGAGGCTATAAAAAGGGGACCTAAGAGGGGCAGTGAAAGGCCCAGAGACAGCGGGATGGGCACAATATCTTCCCGTGGGCCCGTGTGGCTTCTGGAAGTCACTGGAGCCATTGCGCAGCCAGCGTCTGCTTGCAGAAGGGCACAAACAAGCCCTTCCTGGTGGGCTGGGAGTTTGACAACTGATAACCACCCCCATGGGAGGAAAAGGACCTGGGGTCACCACTCAGGTCGCCACTGCCGGGACTGTGGGCCAGGGATCGGAAGCCTCCCTCCATGGGGACCCCCCAGCCAGGAACTCCAGGCCACTGGGGCTGCTCAGTTCCCAATACAAAAAGCACATCTCCCCCCACCCGGGGGTGGGCCTGCTTTTCAGCCTGACGGTGGCGCTGGGTCATACGGAGCTCTGTGTTTCTGGGCTTCAGTTTCTTCCCCTGTAAAATGGGAGGCAAGTAGACCAGGGGTTTGCTCTCTGAGGCCCCTCCTGGAGTGCTGCCTATGATCTCAGGGGTGGGGGGGGGTCAGCCAGAACGGGGGGGAAGGGGACCAAGAGGTGAGTGATCAGCAGCTTTGACAGGTTAGAGCAGTTAACTGCTTACCCAGCCCTCCCTAGGCCTTTGTTCCAGAGAGGGAGGAGCCTTGGGCTGGGAAGGTCCTGGATGGGGGTGAGTTTCCATCCCCACCCACTGAGACAACAATCACTGCACCCCCCACACACGCATACACACACACGGCAGCAGGGGACAGGGGACAAAAGTGCCCTGTGACTGGACTGGCTGGCCAAATGCACACCTTCTCCCAGCGGCTAGTACAAAAGCATAGGAAATTGAGGTTAGACTAAGGGAAGAACTTCCTGATGTCAAGGGTGTTTTGTTGCTTATGGGTGGAGGAAGGAGCCTCACATCTCTCCTCTCACCTCACCCTCAGTGTAAACACAGGGCTCTAGCTTGTCAAAACGGAAGGAAGGTGGAGTAAGCAAGTGTCTCCCCCCACCAGAGATGCTTCTCAAACACGTCAGGAGGACAGAAACCCTCCTGATTGCCATCCCTATGGAACCTGTTTGGCTCTGACAACAGGAGACTGCAGTCTTAGGTTGGCTGTGAGCAGAATGTCCCAGTACAGATGGGATCTAAGCAGGGGAACGACAGCCCACGAAGGCCCTAGCCCAGGATTCCAGCTGGTATTGTCTAATGCATTGTCAAAGGGGACTTTGCAAGAATGCTCAGGTGTCACAGGAAAACCCCAAGAATGTGGGCAGGACAGGAAGAAAGAGGAGGGCCTCCCCGGCCCCCAAATTCAAAAGAAACAGAGAGTCCCTGAAAGTCCAGAGAGGGCAGCGGCCATCAGATGTGCCTGCCTGGGAAGCTTGGCCCCCAAGTCTCCATAGGATCCTGGACCACCCTGGGCCCTCACCTCCCCCTCTGTAGATGAAGAGTACAAGCCAGGTGATCTGGCTAGGATTCTGGCTCTTTGAGCTGTGATACCGGGAGCCAGTGCCAGCCGCGGGCAAGGCGCAGCCAGCGGCTTGCTTCTGGTCATGGGCAACATCACTGGGCTGGTCGTCACAACACCCTAGCTCCCACAGCCTGCCCAGGAGCCAGGCCCTAGTCATCTCTCCCAGCTGCCCCTGGCGTGGGCGCCAAATGGTAGGGGTCTCAAGAAGAGAGCAGGCGGCTCCCAGTCTGACGGGAAGGGTGGGAGGTCCGGACAAACGAGGAGCAGATAAATTGAGGACCTGGTAAAAAAAAGCCGGGGGGCTGGGGACTTCTTCTGAGCTGCGATTCTTTCTTTTTCCCTTTCCTTTTCTTCTTTATAATTTTTTTTTTGTTATTTCAGTAATCTCTACACCCAAACCCACAACCCCAAGATCAAGAGTCATATCCTCTTCCGACTAAGCCAGCCTGGTGCCCTTTGAGCTCTGATTCTTGGAGGCTTCCTGCAGGAGGGGAGCTGGGGACGCAAATGGGGAGGGAGAGGAAGGACGGGGACAGTGGAAAAGACAGAGGAAGGCTAGAGCCCGGAGAGGACAGGCAGCCTGGGCAGAGGCAGGGGACGCCTCCCCACCCCCGCCCAGGCTGCCCCACGTTGGACTGGGTAGAAGGCAAGAAAGGATTCAAGAGTGATCCTAACGGCATGCGCTGGCTGAGCTGGGAGCCTTGGGGGTCCCTGCAGCCTTATGAGCAGGAGAGCGGGAAGGAGGCAGTTTGAGAGAAACAGCTGTGCCCAGAGCTCTCGCAGTCGTCACCCTCGAGGCAACACTGGCCTCCAACTAGAGGCAGAAGCCGGTCCAGGAAGGGCAGGTGGGTCCCAGCACCCACAGAGACTGCAGCCCCAGACAGGAGCCCCCAGTTCTGAGGGTTGAAAGAATCTAAACTCCCACCACCCTGGATTCCACACCTGCCTCTGACACTTGCTAATTTAGTGACGTTGGGCAAATTATTTGGCCTCTCTGTAAAATGCAGCCACAACTACCCCTAGCCCATCAGGTTGTGGGGCACTAATGAGGCAAAGATGTCCAGCCTCTAGAACAAGGCCTGGCCCACAGTAGGGAATGCATAAATGTTTGCCGGTATTACTGTCCCAGGGCCTGTCCCCAGCTTCCTCCCCCAGGCAGCCCTGAGAGGTGGCCAGGACAGGCCATGTCAGCCCCAACTTCTAGCAGGGGAAACTGAGGCTTGGAGAAGCTCCAAGTCCCCGGTTGTCGGAAGGATTAACAATGAAGGATGAACCAGGCCCTCCCCTGACGAGCTTCCATGGCAAGATGAGACAAGGCTTGTCGGCTTGGGGTGGGAGGGGGGATGGCAGACAGGCCTCTGACACCCTATGTTCCCTGGGGTCTCCCACCCAAGCCCCAGGCAGACGTGGAGGGCCTGTCATCTCATTGGCACATTCAGCCCCTTCCCTCCTCTCTTGGGCCCTGCTCCTCCCTGAGGAAACCTTCGCTAATTGGCTCCACCCCTTTCTGATTCCCTCCTTATCTTGCCATCTTCTGTGTGAAGCATCAGCAATTGGAGATGAGATCTGGATGCGCCGAGAGAAGTCCCGGGTGGTGAGCTCAGAGCAGATGAGCTCCCCAGGCCCGGGGCAGCCCCCATGCGGGCCCGCAGCCTGGCCTGGCGCCTCGGCGCCCGACCTGTCCACGCCAGGCTCTCTCACCGCCACTCCCCTCCTCTCCCAGGTGCAGGCCCTGGAGCAGCGCAACCAGCTGCTGGAGACCCGCTGGCACTTCCTGCAAGGCCAGGACTCTGGCACCTTCGACCTCGGGCACCTCTACGAGGGGTACCAAGCACGGCTGCAGGAGGAGCTACGCAAAGTGAACCAGGAGCGGGGACAGCTGGAGGCCAGCCTGCTGCAGGTGCTCCAGAAGGTCGAGGAGTTTCGAATCAGGTGGGCTGTGCCAAGAGGGGCAGTGGGCAGGGACGGAGGGTGGGAACCAACCTGCCCCGAGGCAAGGCCCCCAGGCACCCAAGCCGGAAAACGAGAAAAGGTCCTTAAAGAACATCTATCTACTACAGACGTGCTTACTGAGGACCTACTGTGGGCCGGCCAGTATTCTAAATACCGGGAGGAGATGGCAGTGAACCCAGAGCCACCGTCTCAAATAGTGGCCCTTGCAACCAAGTCAGTCTCATGCTGACTGGCAGCTACGCCCTGCGGTCGCTGGCCTCAGACACCACCTCAGTCCCTGTCCCCTGACCTGTGCCCGTAAACACACTTGCTCTCACCCACACATTCCACTGGCAATGGGAAACTGTCACTGGCTAGAGCAACTGATGGGCTCCTGCTTCAGATACGGTTTGGAAACTTGATCTCGAGTGGGCTGGAAAGGGAAGCAGGGGCAGGCAGGGGACAGAAATGGTGAGGTTTGTCAGAATAAAGACACAGTCCCGGTGGGTAATGCCTGCCTGAGCTCCGTGGGCGCCTTGGGGTCTAGAGAGATGAGGAAGCCACAGCCCCGGCCTGTGAGGTGCTCACAGACTGGAAGGGGTTCACTCCTAGCCTCCACCCCTCACTAGCTCTGTGACCTTGGGCAAGTCACTCAACATCCAAACCTCAGTACCCGCCGTGTGGAGCGGGAAGGGTGATGCCGAGCCGTCCTGAGGCTGGCATGAGAGGAGGAAGTGGGGAGTTCAGCCTGGCCCCACACTACCGTAAATGGCCACTCTTCTACCCCCTAGAAGGCTGACAGTAGTCCTTGACACAGGTTTGCTGAACTGAACTGGGCCGCGTGGAGAGGCAGACCAGGTGCTTGGGTCCCTCACAGGAGAGGTGACATCTGTGACCAGACAGCGGGCAAGGCTTCAAGGACGGGGAGGTTGAGATGAAGCAGAGAGGCCGTGTCCTTGGGCTCCTTCCTCTGGTCTGGTCTCCTTTTGAGGAGGTCCTCAGCTTGGGTGAGGGAGGGTGGGATGTGCCTAGACCCCTCCCTCCCCTCCCCTCCTCCAGTGCTTGGCCCAGCCCCAGCACCTGCCAACCCAAGGCGAGGCCTTGCAGTCTTGGGAGCAACCAAGGGGCTGGGGCAGCCTGTCTAGAGCCCAGATCTGGGCTGTGGCTTAGCTTGTCCACCCCCTCTCCACGTGACCTCCCCTGCTCAGGCCACATTCAGAGAAGATGGTCACGTGGCAAGTTCTCCCCACTCTGGGGGCCTCAAATTCCTTATCTGTGGATCTAGTTAGAATTTTCTGGCCAATAAGCGTGATCTGCAGCCCTGGACTGGACTCCTCCTCATGGCTGGGCCCCTCCATGGGCGAGGGGCCACCTCTCCCCCAGCCCCGCCCTACTACAGAAACCCACAGGGAACCTCACTGCCCATTCTGAGCTGCCTAGTTTCAGTATCCGATGGTGATGAGGGGAATCATGTTAGCACACCAGAATCCAAGAGTCGTTTCACTGATGTCTGGCATCTCTTTGGTCCTCAAAGAACCAGAGAATGGCTGGATGGGGGCCTGGGATGGCTGGATGGGGGCCTGGGATCGTCCTTTCACGGGGAAGGAAACACAGGCCCAGAGAGGGCAGGGAGTTGTCCTGGGTCACAGAGCCATGTGCACTAAGACCATCTGTAACCCCAGCCAGCCGCGGGAGGAGGCTGCTCTCCCATGAGCCCAGCCAGATCACATCCGTGGAGAAACTGTAACTGGAAGTTCTGTACAAACACTACTTGTTGCTTTAATCTGGTTAAGCCTCCTCAGCTGGCCGGCCGCCTGGTTTCCACCTGTAGCCTGAGCTTGCCATTTTGGCTCAGGGCCTCTCTTCCCCCTCTCTGCGTAGGAAACCCACCAGATTTGGGGGGGTGAGTTTGGAGGGCTTCTAGATCCACCGCCAGAGCTGGGGAAGCTGCAGCCTGGCTGTGTAGAGCCTGGGGGGCCCCAGGAGCCTGGAGACGCCAGGCCAAGCCCTGACAGGGAGGGGTGTGCCTTGCCTCTACAAGGCTGATGAGATCAGCTTCACTCCCAGAAATAAACAGGGTGGCGGGGGGGAGCCCGGGGTGGGTGTGACAAGCTGAAAAGGGCAGGGAATGGTTTTGGGAACTAGTGGCTGGCAGACTGGCAGGGGATTAGGAGTAGAGTAGAGGAGATAGCATTTACCTAAGTCTCTATAATGATAGAGACTTCCAAAAGGATGTAGCCAGGACCCCAAGGATCATCTAGCTAATCCTTGTATTTACTAAGGATGAAGCTGAGGCCCCCCAAGGGGAAACCACTTGCCCAAGGCCACAGAGCAAATGACTTGGGGGTGTCGTGTACAGTTGTGTAGGAGGTTCACTGCACAAGAGCATCTGGTTGAGGGGGTGAACTAGGGCTGAAATCCAGTGGAGCTGGTGATAAAGGAGGAGGGAAGACTATACAAAAAGACTAAAAGGACAGTGAGGGATAGAGAGGAGGGAGGTTCGACACCTCAGAGAACACCCCCCTGGACAGCTCTCTCTACGGTCCTGCTCCCAAGCAGGCAGAACTGTGTTATCTGGATAGGAGGGGAGAAGGGGAGAGGCTTGACCACTGGGCTTAAACAGGGAGGGCCAGCCAGTGAGGGGCTTCTCAGCTTGGGCACAGAACCCCTCAGGGCACAGAACCCCTCAGAGGCCACCAAATTCCCAGTGGAAAGTCTGGGATGGAAGTGCAGAGAACCACCCACTCTCTGCATGAGGCTTCCCACGGTTCCTCTCCAGAAATGCTAGAGGCCAAGGCTGGTGTTAGCTAGAACAGAGCTCAGGTAATAATGATAGATTTAGCAGGTGTCATGCACTGTTGTAAACGCTCCGTATATTGACTTAAATAACCCTCATGACATCAGTATTGTCATGACCGAGGCACAGAAGCAGCTTAGCCATGGTCCAATGGCCTATTAGCAAGGAGCCAGGATCTAACCCAAGTAGTGAGTCTCTGGAGCTTCCTTGCAAAGAAAAGGGCACAAGTAAAAGCTTCCTGGGCGTTTTGTTGGCTCTGGTAGGCCCCAGACTGCCGACCAGTTCCCCTGTCCTCCCTCCACACTATGCCCTTGACCGGCACCCTGAGAGCCCCTTGCAGACCCCGGGAAGCCAAGGCTGCGGCCAGGAAAACGTGTATGCTAAGCACACTGAGTGTCAGAGACCCAGTGTTCGGCGGGCTCTCGTCCGCTGGGGTCTGCTCCCCTCAGCTTCTCAGGTAAAGGCTGGTAGGAAACAAGGCCCGAGTGATGGCGGGCCCAGCCAGCTGACGTGGGCGATAGGTGACGCTGCCCTTGCCCATGAGGTCAGGGAACGGGGCGGGCGGGCGGCTGTAATTAGAGCCGCCAGTGATTCAAGCATTCCCTGGAACGGAGGGAAGAAAACAGGAAGCCACAGAAACCCCACATCCATGAAGGCAGGCAGGGCCGAGGGGGAGAAGTCTGTGGTGGCAGACACCCAGCCCGGAGAGGGCCAAGAGGTTTGATTAGAGCCAGGGGTTAAGGTCAGAGACCCAGAGATCCCGTCTCTCCTCCAACAATGTTCTCCTTGCAAACACAATGAGGAGTAGAGCAAGGAGGAGGCAAAGTTAAGAGAGGGAACCCCCCTCGTGGAGGGTCTACTACGCACATCTGTCACCATGTCAGGGTTGGGCTTGGTCTGACCCCTGCACGTGCACACACATACACACACACACACACACACACACACCTAATAGATGGGCAAGCCGATGAAGGAGGGTGCAGTTACCTGCCCAAGAATACACTGTGGGTCTGTCTGCAACATCCACACTCTCCCCTCAGGAGGGAACGTGTTGGAATGGTGTCCTACCAGCTAGCAATTGCAGAGGGGAGGGTGGGAGGAGGGGGAGGGTGATCTGTGAGCAGACAGCTCAGAGCAGACTTCGCCAAAGGCACAGCTTGTAGGAAATGGAGATTCTTGGGAGAGGAGAGAGGGAAAAGGTGAGAGAACAAAGTTAGGGTGACAGGGCTGTGCAATCAGGAGAGGCTTCCTGGGGGAGGTGGCTATGACGACGAGCCGGGAAGGAGACAGATGCCTCTGAGGAGAGGTCTAGCTGATCATCCGGAAGGAGTGAGAGAATGGTGTCATGGGCTTAGAAGGGATGTGTCATAGACGAGGGGCTATATCTTACCCAAGGCAAAGGTCAGTTTTGGTGCGCAAGGCACCAAATGCGGCAGCAAAGGCCCTGAGCCCTGGTCCAGGAGGGATAATCATACCCCAAGCTCCTGCCATCTGTAGCTGAGTGGCCTCTCTCTCTCTTTCTCTCTCTCTCCTGCTGCCTCGTTCCCTCTCCCCTCCCAGGTATGAGGAGGAGATCTCCAAGCGCACAGACATGGAATTCACCTTCGTCCAGCTAAAGAAGGTAGCCAGCCCAACCTGCCCCAGGGGCTCCTTCCTCATGGACCCTCTGCCCTCATTCCCTCAGGCTCCCCAAGCAAAGCCCTCCAAGGCTTGAGTCCCGGGACCACAGACAGATATGGGTACCTGACCTCACCCTGCAGCTTCTCCCGGGCACTGAGCCGGGGCTTCCTTGGGAATGACCCCCATCTCCCTCAGGAAGATGGGCACCCCACTCCCACCCTGGAACACCTCCCCGACACTCACCACTGCTCGCACCCCCAGGACCTGGATGCGGAGTGTCTCCGTCGGACTGAACTGGAAACCAAGTTAAAAGGCTTGCAGAGCTTCGTGGAGCTGATGAAAAACATCTATGAGCAGGTGAGAAAATGAGACCAGCATCCCATTGAGCCAAGAGTTGACTTGTCCCCAGGTAAGGGATGTGGGGGAGGGAAGGGTGTCTAGCGGGGCATGGAAACTTCAGCAGTCATCACAGACATAACACAGACTTAATGTTCTCCCATCCCCTTCCCGAACTGCTGTCAATAACCCAATACGTCCCCTCACCCCTCCTTTCATGGAGCACAGGCAAATTCCCAAGAGGCCTCATGCTCAAGAAGGACCTATTTCTTGGAATGTGCTGGAGTGCAGAGGGCATGTTGGGGACCCATGCATCCAGGCAAGGGTTGGAAAGTGGCTTGAGAGACAGGGAACGAGCTTAAGAATAGCTGTTCTTTTTTTTTTTTTTAATTTAGTTTTTATTTATTTATTTGACAGAGAGAAATCACAAGTAGGCAGAGAGGCAGGCAGAGAGAGAGAGGAGGAAGCAGGCTCCCTGCCAAGCAGAGAGCCCGATGTAGGACTCGATCCCAGGACCCTGAGACCGTGACCTGACCCAAAGGCAGAAGCTCAACCCACTGAGCCACCCAGGCGCCCGAGAATAGCTGTTCTTATTGGACTCATCTCTTCCCACCCCTGCAGCGTAAATGGCAGGCACCCACAGGCCTAGGCCAGACAGTCATGCCCTTGGCCTTCCCAGGTTCGGGGCTTAGGCAGGGAGGACCTGCAGTCAGATTCTTGGGTTCCCAGACAATGCTAGCTTCTGCCAGAACAAAAAGCACCTGGTAAATGCAGACAGGGGAGCCTCCAGATATCTTCTGATTGTGTCCCTAAGTCCTCTGCTGAGCCTGGGGGTACAATGACCCCACAAGGCCTAGCACGCAGCCAGTGCAGTCCACAGACGGGCCCCGCTGCTGCCTGCATACGCTCCCCTTCACTCCACTCTGCCTCCGGGCTCCACATCCCCTGTGTCCGGAGGTAGAAGGGTCATGTTGCCGTTCAGCTAGGAGCAGGCGGGGGCGGGGGGGGGGATGGCAGGACTTGGCAGCCGGTGTGCCATAAACCGCTGGTGCCAAACTATGGCAGTGCAGCCAAGATCAGAGCAGGGATCAAAGTCACCACTGCCATCAGAAAGTTCTGCTAAAATGGGGGCGCCTGGGTGGCTCAGTTGGTTAAGTTTAAGTGTCTGACTCTTGGTTTTGGCTCAGGTCATGATCTCAAGGTCGTGGGATTGAGCGCCGTGCAGGGAGCCTTTTGAGATTCTCTCTCATTCTTCCTCTGCCCCTACTCCTGCTTGCTCGCTCGCTCGCTCGCTCTCAAATAAATAAATAAGGCTTTAAAAAAATAAGAATTAAATTAAATTTAAGGTTCTGCTAAAGTGGCCCTAGGGGCTGCTGACCACAGCTTGGCAGCCTCATCGTGTGGAGAGGGAGATGGGGCCTTGTGGCCGCATACAGGCCACTCTGCTTTCCAGCAGGCTCGGCCCCCGGCAGGGTCTTCAGTGGGCCTGAGACCTGTTTGTGGCCATGGGAGGTGGCCTGGCGGAGAGAAGAGCACAACCCTGGGGAGCAGCAGGAAGGTAGCCGTTCCAGGCAGACCAGGACATCGGCTGCCCTGAGCAGCTTCCCACCCCTGGCTGAGCCCTCTGGAGGCGAGCAGGGCACGGGGCCCACTGACGGGCTGGAGAAGTGGGCTAGGAGTTCCTCTGCCCACACTCACTGTGGAGCCAGGCAGACAGCAGTGGGCCCAGTGTTTCAGATTCTGCACTGGGCTCTGTGCACCTCGGCAAGCCCAGAGCCCGAGCTCCCAACCAGGATCGAGGCCCAGCCGGCATAGAGACTTAACTGGAGGTAAGCCAGGCATGGCCAGAGACAGGCCTGGGCATCGCCAGAGGCGCCCCTACAAATCTTCTTGGCCCTGCCCCATTTGGATTTAGCAGCCCTTGGACCCCAATCCTGGCTTTCCTTTTGCATTTCTAGGACTTTCAGACTAGTTATTTCTCCTCTCTTTGCCTGTTTCCTCATCTGTAAAATGGGGAGAGTGATAATACCAGGCTCATCAGGTTCTGCTGATGACTAAATCCGTTCTTCTGTGTAACAAGTGTTTATTGCTCACCTGCTGGGTGCCTGGTTCTGGTATCACAGCCATGAGCGTGATGGGCCTAGTCCATGCTCTCAGGGGCTGCCACTGAGCTAAGAGGGGAAACAGGTAATAAGCAAGTCAACAGATACCTGAGCAAGATCATTTGGGAGGATGAAAAGGGCCGGGCTGCCCAGAACCCAGTGATGTGGTCCTGCTGGAGCGGGAGGGGAAAGTCAAGGTCAGGGGGCTTCTTGGAAGTGGTACAAGTGAGGGAAGGCCCAGACTAGGGAGGGCCGGCCGGGTGGAGAGCCAAGAGGGCTTTGGGCAGAAGGAGGGCCAAGCATCTCAGGCAGCAGTGACTCTGGTGACGAAGGGGAGAGGAAAGAGCAGCTGTGGCTGGGGTCAGCTCACCCCCCACCCCCGAATCAGGGTTTGGATCTCATTCTCATTGTGACTGGTGGCTCCTGGGGGTACTGCGGGGGGTGGTACAGAGAGGGTAAATGTATGGCTCGTGCTGTACGGCAGTGCTGTGGAGAAGAGGGACTGCTGTGAATGTGGGCTTGCTCGGTGCACAGACCAGTGATTATTACTCTGGGGGCAGCAAGGTGCCAAGTTGGTGTCAGGTCGTAAGGTCTGTGTTTCTCTCCAGGCACCGCTGCAGGCTGAGAAGGCAGCCCTAATCCCATGGTAAAAAGATTCCCCACACCAGTGGGTCTCTAAACTGGCACTAAGAGAAACAGTAACTGTTTTTCAGTTACACATGCAACTGTTTTTCTAGTAACTACATTTTATTTTATTTTTTTAAAGATTTTATTTATTTGACAGATAGAGAGACAGCAAGAGAGGGAACACAAGCCGGGGGAGTGGGAGAGGGAGAAGCAGGCTTCCCACTGAGCAGGGAGCCTGATGCGGAGCTCCATCCCAGGACCCTGGGATCATGACCAGAGCCGAAGGTAGACGCTTACCCAACCGAGTCACCCAGGCACCCAATACAAAAAATTAGTAGACTCTCTTACAATCTTTTTCCCACATTAAGTCTTCAAAATCAGATGTGCACCTTACGCCTGCAACTCATCTCAATTCGGACTAGCTGAATTTCAAGTGCGCATGACCACACAGGACTTGTGGGACCAAGCAGGTCTCTACAGAGGAAGGTGCCCACCATGGCTGTCTCCGGTGAAAGAAAAACATGGCAGGATGCGAGGAGCCCTGGGAGGGCTGTACACTCTAGTTTTGACTCTGGAGCACACACCAGACCAGAAAAGCATGGCTTTTCATGCATTTCAGAAAACAGCCCTTCCCTCTAGCCCGCATGCACACACACATGAGGCCAGGATAAATTCTCAGATGCTAATGACCATGGGCCACTCAGAGCCTCATCGTATATACTGCAGCCTCCGGGCCAACCCCTCTGCCCCTCACCTCCAGGGACATGAGCTGGCGAGAGGACCCAAGGGCTCACATTTCCCCTCTGCTTCCAAGGTACACGCCAGCTCCCAGGTGTGCCTGGGGCCTGGCTGCCTCCAGCCTGAATGCTACCCACCCCACTCGTACATAAGCTATTGTTCTGGGGAGACGAACTGGGCAATCTACCGACAGCCCCCCGCAGCCGGCGCACCTCCCAGAAGGCCCTTCTCTGCAGAGAGAGCCTGGTGTGCTTAAGCTCTTTGGTGCCTGCCTTCATGCATCCAGGGAGGCTGCTCCAGGAATAGACTGCTCGGCCCCTGGACCTCTCCACCACCCCTACCCCCTGCCTTTATCACCTGTTACAACAGTAGTATCCTTAGCTACTATTTACTCAGCACCTACTATGCCCCAGGCACAGTGAGAAATGCTTTCCAGGTGTAATCTCATTCACTCCTCACAGCAACCCTATAAAGGGAGGAATCATGGTTAGAGCAGCTTGGATTTGAATCCTGGGTCCGTCATTCTGTGAGCTCCAGCACGTTCTTCTATCTCTCTATGCCTCAGTTTCCCCATCTGTAAAATGGGGGAAATTAAAGAGCCCAGCTCACTGGCCTGCGGTGAGGATCTGTTTTGTTACTACATCCTAAAGTGGTGAGAACAGAATCTGGTACAGATGCTAGCTGGTTTCAATTCTATAATCATACCCGTTCTAAAGATGAGAAAACAGAGGCTCCAAGAGGTTTAAAAACCTGGCCAGGGTTACACAGCTGCTAAGAAGGGGTTAGTATTCAGAGCCTGGTGCCATTAATTAAGCATGACATTTCATGGAGCAGCACTAAATCCCCTCTGAGGGTCACCGCCTCCCCTGACCCAGGGACCACAAACAAGATGGTCCCACATGAGGCCGTCTGCTCGGGCCCCAGCTCTGAAAACAAGCTTTAAACTTCACTTTGGCTCAGTTCTTGCCAGCCTGGAGGGCCCGTCCCATGGTGACAGCATGCAAGCCAGCATTGTTATGCCCTCTGCGGCCCAGCGGGGGCCAGCGTGCCTCAACAGGCCTACAGATGCTCTAAACCCTCCGCTTCCTACTCCTGCTCACCAGGCTCATGCCTACCCCACCTCTTTCCAGAAAGTATCTTGAGGCCGCTCCGACTGCTCAGTTTTGCCAGTCCCTTCTCTGTGCTCAGAGAAGCCCTGCTCCAGTGCATTCTGACAGGGCCCCGGCCCATAACAAATGCCAACATAACAACGGCCCTTTTCCTGGCCCATAACAAATGCCAGCTCGGGCCTGGGCTAAAGGGCTTTCTCTGGAACTCTCTATGCCCACGGATCGCCCCCATAGCACGTTGACCAAGGAAGCCTCAAAGCTGCATTCCTGAAAGTGTCCATGGCCAAGGCCTGCCCGGGACCCGGTTCCATGTGGGCAATGTCAATCCCTGAGGGTGACCCGAGCAGCAAAGGTGGGACATGAGTCTGTAGGTACCGTCCACCTCATTCTGCCAAGGGGCCGCGCGTTCCTCCTGCTTTTGCCCAGAGATGTTTATTAAATTCATTTGAAGATCAACCAAAATCCTTCATCAGGAGACCTCATGGGGTGGCCGGCCACTAGGCTCAGGGTCCTGCCAGCTCTGGGATGGAGACAGGGTTCCCCCAGCAGACCTTTACCCCAAGCTTCCTTTTGTGGGAGCCAATCCTGGTCACCAGGGGTGTGGGTAGGCAGGGTCGGGCAGCCAGCAGCCTAGGGAGGGGCAGCCTTCCTCAGCAGGCCTCCACAGCCATCCCTGGGGCTCTAACTGACCCAGCCCACCCTGCAGGGTACGAGCTGGGGGTCAGAGCACTGGCCTTGGCAGCTGCAGACTCCAAAGGCTCAACCCCACACACTCTGTGGCATAAGGCCAGACTGAGGGTCAGCAGGGGGCCCAAAGTCAGCACCCAAGGTCAGAATGCTGTCATGAGATGAAAACTGAACTTGGATCTGAGCAGGCCTCAGCTCCAGCTGCCAGGTCTCAGGACATGCACGCAGCCAAAGAGCACGTTCCACACCAGCCCACCGTGCAGCCAGTAAGGTCCGGGCTGTGGGGACTGCCGCTTCAGGCAATCCAGTGTTTTCAGTGCAAAAAATAGCAAAGAAGAGAGACAGGGAGAGAGACAAAAGATGGAGGCATGCCTACAGAGTAAGAGAGACTTGGAGACATATGGACCGAGAAGGACAGAGAGGAGGAGGAGGAAAGAGGATCCTAAAGGATGAGGAGAAATGAAAATATTGAGGCCCCCACGTCTGTGCCCGGCCAGGAGCTGAAGGACCTGGCAGCCCAAGTGAAGGACGTTTCGGTGACCGTGGGCATGGACAGCCGCTGCCACATCGACCTGAGCGGCATTGTGGAGGAGGTGAAGGTGCAGTATGACGCCATCGCGGCCCGCAGCCTGGAGGAAGCTGAGGCCTACTCCCGGAGACAGGTTCGGGCTGACGGAGGGGGCAGGAGGGGCTGCATTGGGGAAGGCTGAAGTCACCTTCAGCTCTGAGCACTGAGAGGGGAGTGGGGAGCACTGCCGCGATGGAGAATGTGAGTGCCCCTCACTGCAGGGGGCCGAGGGGCCATGCCATGGGGGAAAGGCCAGGGTCTGCTCCCATCAGAAGCTCTCGGTGCTGCCACCCAGTAACAGCAGGCCAGGGGTGGGCCCAGCCAGAGCTGGGTGTTGCGAGGCTGGCCCGGGGAGTGCTGGGGGGCAGAGCAGGAGGAGGGCCTGGGAGGTGAGAGAAAAAAGGAGTCACAAGGGGCAAGGGGCAAGGGTCCTGGGAGGGACACAGTGAACTGTCCCTCACTGTCACCTCCTGCATGCCCTCCAGCTGGAGGAGCGGGCTGCCTGCTCAGCTGAGTTTGGGAACAGCCTCCAGAGCAGCCGCAGTGAGATCGCTGACCTCAACGTTCACATCCAGAAGCTTCGATCCCAGATCCTCTCCATCAAGAGCCATGTGAGTATCTGCAGGACCCAAGTGGGGGTGAGGCAGGGAGGAGTTCGAGGGCTCTCTCTCTCTCCCACACACACTGAGTCCATGAAAGACCCTGGGCAGGTCACTTAGCAGCTCTGTGCCTCAGTTTCCTCTCCTGTCCTCCTAAGATGGCTGTGAGGATCCCAAGAGTGTCACAAGTGAAGGTGCTCCGTAGACTGGCCAGGGCTGTGGGAGTGACACAGAGCCTCACCACCACAAACACCCAGAGTCCCTGGCCTCGGTTCCAGCCAGTGCTCTGGGGAAGGTGCTTGCCCTGTCAGGACAGCTGGGACAGGCTCCTCTGGGCGCTGTGGATCCTCCCTTTTTCATGGCCTCTGGAATGGATCTCCTTAGGTCTCACTGAATGCCCTCTTGCTGCAAGACAACCCCCTGCCACACCCAAGAACTCCATTGCTCAGCCCTCCCTGCCCTGTGCACCCCCACAGAGGGCAGAGGTGGGCTCCCGGCCCACTCCCTCCTTCCCACCAGTGCTCATGAGCCCCTTCCCTCTGCAGTGCCTGAAGCTGGAGGAGAACATCAAGGCGGCGGAGGAGCAGGGAGAGCTGGCCTTCCAGGACGCCAAAGCCAAGCTGGCCCAGCTGGAGGATGCCCTGCAGCAGGCCAAGAAGGACATGGCCCGGCAGCTGCGCGAGTACCAGGAGCTCATGAACACCAAGCTGGCCCTGGACATCGAGATCGCCACCTACCGCAAGCTGGTGGAGGGCGAGGAGAGCCGGTGAGGGCTGGGGCCCCGGCAGGGTGCAGTGAGGGGCCGTGGGAGGGGCAGGACTAGAGGGCCACCCCCACACAAACCCAGACTCCCCCTCCATCAGGCTACCCTGAGTCAGGAAAACCTGGGATTGTGGCCAGCCTCAGCCACTTATAAACTGGGACCTTGGCCCATTCATCAAATCGTCAGTTTTCCTATCTGGAAAATGGGCTGATCATAACAGTCTATGGTGGGGAGGATTGATACGATTCTGCAGGCAAATGTCTGTCACAATTAAGTGCTCTGTAAATGTTAGCCATTTATGCAGGGGAGAGGAAACAGAGGCCCAGAGAGGACAAACAGGCTAGCCAGGGTCACACAGCAGGGCAACACGGGACTGGGAATAACAACCAAAAATTGCCCTCCACCTGCCATTCCCCAGGGCCCCCAGGCCTAGGGGCGGGTTGGGGGTGCTTAAGCCACAGACCCCTTCTCATGCTCCTATTTCCGTCCTCCCCCAGAATGGACTTGCCTTCAGCCTCCATGGTCAGCGTGGTGCAGTCCAGATCCAGAACCGGTGAGTCTACTTCCCTAGGGACCCATGGCGGGGAAGGGAACACGGTGCTGGGAATCCTGACCCTAAAGGTGTCATTTTACGTGGTTCCCCAACCTCCAGCCCCTTCCCTGCCCCACCCCTTATGTTCCCTGTAGCCGCCTCCAAGCCCAGCCTTTCGAGAGCGCCCTCCCGGAAAAAGAAGAACAGAAAAGGCCCTGTGATCAAAATCACCGAAATGTCCGAGAAGTTCCTGTTGCAGGAGTCAGAGGTGTCAGAGTAAGGCAGCTGGAGCCCAGGAGCCTAGGTCACTCCCCTGCAGCTGGAGGGACTTCAGCGGGACCCAAGCAAGCAGCTTGGAGCCTCTGGGTTGGGCGGGGAGGCAAACCTGATCCTGAACTGAAAGGGGGAGCGTTCAAAACCAGGACTGCTTTTCTGTGGGTGGCCGAGGGTGCTACAGGACTGTCACCAGCTATTAAGAATCACACCACTCCATCTCAATATTTCAGTCCTACCCTTCCAGCCTTCTGGCCAGAGGTCTTCTGACTGGAGAAACTGGAACTGGGGATCAGTTTTTTCTCTACCTCCTTTCTCTTCTGAGGCTCTTCCCCAAACAGAGGGCTCTGACCAAGGAACCTTCGACGCTTTTCGCCCAACCCTTGCCCTAAACTCCGATATCAAGCCTTACCTTGCCTCTGACTCAGGACCGAGGCTGGTGCCCTCGCTCACCCAGCCCCAGCCAGCCATGGATCAGGGGCCGAGGAGGACGACCTGGGCACCCTCCCCCTATCTGCAGCTCCTGGGGAGGCTGGGTGCACAGCACCCCTGGATTTCCTGCACCAGAGATCTGGGTACCCCCAGAGACCTGACAGTATTAGGGAGTGAAGGGAAGAAGCTCCCCCGGTCTGTGGGACCTGAGCATGGGCCTCTGAGGTCAGCCCAGATGCCTGTGCCCCTTCCCTCCTGGCTCCTTCTCCAGAAGCTAATCTTGCCATGATAAACCCCCTGTGAGGAGGAGGCCAGATGGCAACCTGAGACCAGGCAGGGGAATTTGGCCCTTCCTTCTGCTCTCTGCTACCCCAGGGTTCACCACCCTGCCCAGGATCCAAGCTCTCTGCACCCCCCCCCCCGCAAGCCCCACACCCTTTCCCCCTTCCCATGCCTAGGTGTTTCCCCAGCCTGAAATCTGGCTTTGGTAGACCAAGTCTGGAGAACCCCCCAGCCCCACCCCCACCATGAAACCATGGGCCATTTCCCATGAATCCCCCTCTCAGGGTCCCTGCTCTCTCCATCAAGCCGAACAGCCCGGCCCTCCCTTCTATCCCTCCTTGCATTTGCTGGGGAGCCCAGGAACACCCCACACCTGTGAGGTTAGAACTTCTTTTTTTCTTCCCCCTCTGCCCCCTCTTCCCACTACAACCACTCCCCCCTCCTCACCTCCCCAGTGGATGACCATGAAGAAGGCACTCTCCAGGCAGGTCTGGGAGTTTCTGAGCCCTTCTGGTCCAGGCGGGGTGCTCCAGTGACAACCAAAAAGGAATTCTGCATCCAAAGAGAAGATTTGGTGCTCGGAGGAGCATTCCTCTTTCCTTGTCTTGGCTCTCACCTTTGGGGCTTGCAGGGCCATCCTGGTGGCTCCAGCTTCCCACTCCACCACCCACCTTCTCTCCTTCCCTCCCTGCTTCCTCCCTCTCCCTTGACTCACTCCTCTGCTAGCCCCAGTCTTTGATTCCTTCATCTCACTTTCCAGGACATGATCCCCCAAGGTCTTGGCCTCAGCAAGGCCTCAAGGTCCTCCATGCCTGTGGGGGGCGCTGAAGGGCTACTGACGCTCAGGCTGGAGGGAAATCAGACATAGACTCATCCCTGAAGTCCCCAAAAGGGTGCTGATTGCTGCTCTTTCTCTGCCTATTTATTGGTTTCCAAGGGAGCAAATCCTCAGTGGGGATACAAGATACATAAAGTATATATGTTATTTTTCGTAACTTATGTGGCTTTTAACTTATTGCTTCCCTTCCTGTTTCTGCATAATCAGTGCTGTATTTACTATCTGGGTAGACAATACGTATCCCAGCCACCCACCTGGCTGGCTATCTTGGGGCAATGCCCCCTTCTCCCTGCCAAGGGATGAATAAAGTGCTGAGATTTGTCCATGGATAAAGCTGTGTGTCTGTTTTTACCTCTCCTGTCCGGACTGGACCTTCAGACCCATGCAGCTTGGACACAAAAATGTCTCCGACCGACCCTGCAATCCTATAAGGAGATTTTCCCAGTGTTGACCTATGTTCCCAGCACTTTCTGACGTGTCCAGGCACCACGTGGCCGCCTCAGCAAGCACAGACATGGGGGATCCCCCAGCTGATGGCGGGTTCCTTCTCAAGCACTCTGCATGACCGTGGGGGTTGGCACAGCCCAGAATCTATTCTGATGGGTACAGGCCTAATCCTGCCAAACCAAATTCTAGATCAACAAACAAGGATCGGGGATCTTCTCCAAACCCAGCCCTGCACTAAGACACCTACAACTGTCCCCACCCCTCCACCACAGGAAGCTCACACTCAAGTTGAGGGATACGCTATCTACCTAAGATAGCCATCCCAAACTTCCTAACCAAGGGAGAAGTTCAGGAAGGAGAATAGAACTTGTTCAGGAAACCGGATAATCAGCACAGGCCTCCTGGAGGAAGTGGGGCTTTAAGTGAGCCCCAAGAAGAAAGAGCAGGTGTCTCCAAGACAGGAATCTTAGGAGCAAAGAAGGGACTTTGAAGCATTGGTGTCCTGACTCACCGACTCACTGAGACCTCAGACAAACGGAGTCTCACTTTACTCATCCGCCAAATGGAGCACAGACCTTCTCTACTTATCTAATAGAGTGTTTGAGGACCTGATGAGAGCGCTGTGTTTATTCCTATCAGGAACAGCATGTCTTTCCTTACCAGCACTCTGAACTGTAACAAGTGTAAAGGATTATTGGTGATGTTGCTATGGTTATTATAAGTCCAAATTGTAGATTAAAAACAACCCACTAGTTTGGATATCAAATAAGGGCCAGTAGGCCTCTGGCTGGCCCTCTCAGGGCACACACACCACGGCCAGGCCCCAGGTCTGGAAGTCACAAGACTTCTGCTCAGAGTTTGTCCATTCTTCTGAGGCCCCTGCAGGATAGGCCCCGCTCTCAGAAATGCAAGAGAAACTGATGGAAAAATCCATATTCCCCTCCAGGAGAGGCCCAGAACTGAGATGACTCCCTACTTGCTTTTTTCTGTGAATTCCTTACTTATGGATTTCTTGAATACTAATCTGAATTTCTGAATCTGAATATGAATTTTGTAGCCAAGAAATACATATTTGTCATTTCCTTTCTTCCATTTTCTTTGAAATTTTTTAAAGATTTTATTTATTTATTTGAGAGAACAAGAGCACACAAGCAGGAGAAGGGGCAGAGGGAGAGGGAGAAGCAGAACCCCCACTGAGCAAGAAGCCCGATGTGGGGCTCAATCCCAGGACCCCAGGAAACCGGGATCATGACCTGAACCGAAGACAGATTCTTAACCGACTGAGCTACCCAGGCGCCCCTGAATTTATTATTTTTATTATTTTCCAACTTCTTGTGTTGAATGCTTTAATTTTCCATCTTTCTACTTTTTCAATAGAAGATTCTCAGAAGACCATAAATTTCCCTTTAAGAAGCATTTTGGCTGCTTCCTTGTGTAAGCTTCCTCCTTCCTCCCCTTTCCCACTCCTGCGCTCCAGAGTGATTCTTGAACACCCGGCCAAGGACACCACCCCTGCTCTGAGCATAACAAAACGAGGACCTTACCCAGGTTTGGCTCTTTCTTCTCCTTGGTCTCTGGTCCTCCTAACTACCTGTGAGACCAACAGGACAGGTATCATTAGCTGAGGCCCAGAGAGGCCAATCACTGTCACTTTGTCACCCAGAAGGTGAAAGGAAGGATTTGGGTTCTGAAGAACCCTTTGTTGCCTGCAGACTGCCCACCATAGGACGGACGGTGAAAAGGACCCAACCACAGAGTTGAAGAAGTGGAGACAGCAGGCCCCATCCTCAGATTCGAAGGGAGGAGGCAGTGGCGGGGTGGGGGGGTGTTGTTGAGCACTCACCCAACAGCCAGTGCCCAGCCACAGCCCCCGGGGCTCAGTGTGGGTGGTCAGAGCTCAGGCCCTTGGCCTGAACTAGTAAGTCAGCACCTGGGGGCTCCAGAAGTTTTCCCCAAAGGGGATGCTGGAGCCAGAGCCCAGGACCAGCCCTGGGTCCTGGTGTGGACTGCACGACCTCCCCTTCCTATCCCCTCTTCTGGATTATTTAGGCCTGAGGAAAAACAACTAGAGGAGAAGTGGTCCCAATATCTGGGAAGTTCCAGAGGCTGATGCATGTGGGGGAGGGCACCCACACAGAAACAGAGAGACAGAAACAGAGATACCTGGGCAGAGCCAAGACCTCTGCCCTGGGGTCTGCAGAGCAGGGAAGGGGGAAGGGACGGTAGTCAGTTAGGGCTTGGTGAGGGGAAGGAAGCAGCTTGAAAGGAAGGGATGTTATGGCTAGCAAGGAATAAGGAGGGGAAATGGCCTGAAGGAGGGAAGTGGAACAGATTTGCTCAGCCTCCAGCCGAGGCAGAGACCAAACTACAGTTTACCAGACGATGGAAGCATGGGTCATAATGTGGGGTAACCCCCGAAGTCCCCCCGAAAGATAAGTCAACTGTGTCATTCAGCTGTGCGTCCCCCTGTCTAGCAGGGTGCCAAGCACACCATCAGGGCTACAAAGTGCTGAACGAATGAATGAAGGCATGAATGTCAGGATGACAGACACACCCACCACGGAGGACTTCTTGAGCACCTACTGCGTGCTGCACCCTGCGCTAAGCCCAGCAGGAAGGGAGAAGAGAATAAAGGGTCTAGAAGGAGTCCTTGCCCTCAAGGGGCTTCTGGCTTCTGGCCAGGATCTGGCTCCTACTCCCCTCTTTTGTTGTACCCAAGTCCCCTCTGTTGTGGTTAGCCATGTGCTCTCTGCCAGACCTTGGGCAGGTCACTGTCCCCTCTCTGGATCTGTTTCTCCATCTGTAAAATAAAGGAGTTGGCTGGGTGCCCATGCAGGTCCCTCGGATGTCCATACCTTGACGCCCGCCCATCCCTTCCATACTCGCCTTGATACTGTGGGCATTTCACCGCCCTACAGAGGCAGCAGTCAGAGTAACTGACACATGACCTGGAGAGCAAGCTCTGCTTCTAGCTGCGTGGTCTTGGGCAACTCTGGGAGATGGACCTCCTGTCTCCTAGGTCTGTTGCACAGCTTTAAAGAGATGATGCAGGATGCGAGAATTTAGCACAGAGCCTGGCACATGCTCCGTGCTTTACAACAACAGTAATAGCAAACATGCTAATTATGAAACTCTTCCCCCTTATCGCTAGGGGAGTCGGCCTCCACCTGCTACCTGGCCCAGGTGGTGGCAGGGAGCAGCTAGGGGAGGGTCCACACCACCTGCCCAGCCTCACCCGCACCTTCCCCCCTCCAGGAGAGACCTCCAGGCTCAAAGCTCTGTTGAGGCGGGGGTGGGGGGCTAAGGATTAGAGAGGGGAGGGAGGGAAACCTTCCTTCCAGTTCCCTGCAGGCGCTGACAGCCCACGTTCACCGCCCCACGCCCAACCCCCGCCCACGGGCGCGCCCAGCGGCAACCACTGCCCTCTTCCGGCCGCGGCGAGACCAGCACTTCTCCGGCCCGGAGCCTGCGGGGGCTTCCTCTGGCTTAGGGAGGAAGAGGCAGGGAAGAAGGGAGATGTGGCTGCTCTTCCCA